GCGGCTGGAACGCACCCTGCCTTTGGAGCTTCCGCGTCTGTTACTCGGCAGCCTGAGGCAGCTCTCTCCCACATGCCACCTCCTTCTCTGGGTCCCTTTCCAGATCCCAAGCTGCCTCTAAACTTTTTAATAATTCACCTATTTAGAAGGTTGTTTTGACACTGACAGCACATTGAAAAACAGCTTTGTAAAGAAGTAACAGGCAGACAGTATCCAACAAAACTCCCACTTTTGACTTTAAGAAGTTTTGCCTGAAGAAAATAAGAATTCTTGTGAGTGTGCAGCAAAAATTTAAAAAGTAAAAATACATTTTAAAAAAATACCATGGAAAGGAGCAGGAAGAAGAGTGGGAGCCTTGGGGGTTGTACAGAAGCGCAGTCATGTGTTCAGCTAAACACACACAAGCAAAGGTTTCCACGTGGGCTTTTCAGACTGCAGGTCTTTCATTAAAGTATATGACTCCCTGGACCTCTTGGGTAGACACAGATTAAGGTTCCCAATTAACCAGATGTAAAGAAGCAAGGTTATTCAAAGAAAAACAAATCTTCTGGGATCAGAGGGAATCATGGGCGGAATGCCTGCACCCCCTGAATTGTGTATACTGAGCCCTGTTCCCTAACGTGTGCTCTTTGGAGGAAGGCTGACCTCTGGGTGTGCTTGAGGTGCAGCTTCCTATGGAAGGCATCCCCAAAGCATAAAGGGGTCCAGAGCAGGCAGCGTCCAGGCGTGTCTGCCCCTCAGAGGCTTCTACGGGCTTCATCTGAGCCTGCAGCATGGGCAGACAAGGCAGCTGAATATAATAAAGCTCATATTCAAATGACTGTTCCCCAGCCACAAAGCAGAAGCCCTGGCTCAAGTGAACAGGAACACGGCCGTACCCTTTATGGAAACAGAGGTTCGTACATTTTTAAGGTTTGCTTGCTGTGTTTCGGCCCACTGGCCATCTTGGAAAAACATCCCTATTATCTTTAAAAGGTTTAGTGTTTACATGCACAGCGCCTGCCGCTCCCCATGTGTTTCCACATCTACATCAACTTTTGCTTCTTGTGCACACCCGCCTGCCTCCCTACCTGCCCAGCTCTTCCACTTTTGCCTCAGGACCACACTGTCTTCTACCCCAGACGGCCGTCCCTTTCCCAGCCGCACCCCTTTGGAACAACCTTCCTTTTCTCCTACTGCAAGGTCTCCATCCAACTAGCCTTTAAGCATGATTGTACGTTTCCCATTAAAAGTCAAAATGAAACAAACACCCCACATACACCTACACCCAAGCTTCCACCCAGCCCTGGCCAGGAGACACTTAGCTCCCTCTTTCCTTTCAGAGCTGAGTTTGGGAGCCAGTCATATTCTATTACCCAAATGAGGACAGCCACGTTTTAGGCTGGGAAGTGGAATCCTACCATATACCTAGACCATGAAAAATTAGGACATTTGCAAACAGTCTTGACTTGATGACTGACACAGTAAGAAATATTACTTACTTCGGAGCAGAAGTAATATTCAAATCCAGGACCTAATTCCTAGCTTGTCCTTTGCCTTCAGAGTTTGTACAGAAACTGTACTGAAGCTGGACCAAACATATAACACAAAAAGTGGCAGCAATCCTAAAATAATTTCTGGCCAACATTAAAGGAATTTTGTTAGATATTCACTTCCTCACAGGGCCTTACATAGAAGAGCTCGGCTGAAAACCCGCTCGCTTCCTAGCCTGGACAGAATAAGTGTGCAAATGAAAATCTCCTCTGTGGAAAGGGCTTCCTTCTGCTTCTGCACCGTCCTTTGTTGGTGCACTCTGTCGCTTTGGTTTTCTGCACGCTGTAACAGCTGCGCCTGCTCGTAGGGCCTCCCAGACTGGGCCGTCAGGTAGAGTAAAGCAAAATGCAAGACACTTAGTTAAAGTTACATCAAGATAACAAATAATTTTAGTGTAATCAGATTCAAGAGTTGTGTGGAAAAATGCATCTCAAATATTGTATTTGACATAATAAATTATTTATCAGATAGTCAGATTTAACTCAATAGCCAGTATTTTATCTGGCAGTCCTATCTCCAGAGCCAAGCCTTCAGAGGCACTAAGCAAAATTAACTTCATGTAAATATTTATAACACACATAACAAATGGAAACAGAAACGTCCAGTCAGTGTAATTTGTCAAGAACCTTGTCATTTCAGGTAACCTTGGCCAGGATGAATAGGCGGAGGAGCCAAGGGATTTTTCATTAGATCTAACAAATTGATTCTAATGTTACATTTCTATTGTTTAGTTTAGTAAACATTTAGTTTATTAAAACTAAACGCTAATGCTATTTTTATTTTACTAGCATTTAGCTTTACTTACAAAGAGTGCATACATTGTAGTGGTAGCATGTTGCATCATATCTAACCAGCTCAGCTCCCTACCAGTTCTTCAGAGGTCACGCATGTTCGTGTGGGGTGCAAGCATGTTGCCTGGTGCCGACCCAAACACACGTAGGCAGAATTCATATGTTCTAGGGTTGCGCCGTTCAGTGGGATGCCTGTAGTTCAGAAGAACCTATTACATATTTGATGACCAGCTTGAAGAGCAAACTGCAAAGGCTCCAAACACAGAGTAATACCCCGTTACATTATTTTATATTCAGGTTGACTTTTGTTAACTGCCACAAATAAGAGAGTATGTGTGGTATTTGTTTTGTGTGTCTCCACTTATTTCAGTTAGCATAATGAGCCCTGTTCCTACCAGTGATAGAATATCATTCTTTTCCATGGTTGGATACTACCCTATTTTGTATATACACATTTTCTTTACCTGTTGATCTGAGGCATTGTTTCTTCTTTTATTTTGTTTTGTTTTGTTGAGACAAGTCTTGCCACGTATCCCAGACTGGGCTTGAACTACTGTGTAGCTCAAGCTGGCCCTGAACTCAGCAGCAGCTCGCCTGTCTCAGCCTCCCAAGTGCTGGCCCTCCATTCGCACGCTGACTGGCTCCCAGGTTCATTCTGTGGGATAACTGTTGTGAGCAGAGCACTAACAAAGGCGTGGAGATCTTAGCGGTATGCTGGCCTGACTTCTCCAGGACCTGCACCAGAAGTGGAGCAGCTCAGGACAGGCCTGCTTCTGGTTTCATGAGGAGCCTATTAATAGGCTCTCCCCTGTGGCTGTGCAAAGTTAGCAGCCCACCAGCAGTGCAGTCCAAGTCCTCTCCTTTCTCTCCCTCCTCCCTTCTATTTTACTACTTGTTTTCTTTTCCCAGCAACTTCTTTAAGGGGATGAGATGAGGTGTCATTGGTCTTCCGATTTGTGCTTCCTTACAGAGAATAGTAATGTGAGTGCTTTTCTTCATAAATTTACTGATCATTTGAATATCTTTTGAGAAATATCTATTCATATTACTTGCTCACTATTACATAATTCAGCTTCCCCTCGCTAAATTTACTGAGTTCCTGAAAGTTAAGGATGCTAAGCCTTTGGCAAAGGCCATTATGCCAGCAGCGTGTCTGCCTCCCTGTTCCCCAGGCACTCGCCTCGCGCTGCTGCTCACGTGTCTTTCCTGCACGCAGTGTCTTGCTGCGTGCGACTCCACTTGTGCGCCGCTCGCTGCCTTGTTCTTCGAGCCCAACCCAAATGCCGTTGCCTACATGGGTGGCTTGGAGCACTTTGCCTGTTTCCTTCTAGTGCTCGCAAGGTCTCAGGTCTTAAGCGAGGCCTTGGCCCCCCTTAAGCTGAGATTGCATAGGGTGAGACATAGTGTTCTAGCTTCAGTTTTCGGCACACGAATACGCAGCTTTCTGAGCACCACTTATTTAAAGGCTGTCCTCTCTTCAGTGTGTGAAGAAGAGACACCTCTGTTGAGAAACAGTTGGTTTCAAATACATAAGATAATTTTCAACACTCAGTTCTGTTTCGTTGGTCTTTGTGTCTGTTTTCATCCCAGTATCATGCTGGACTGCTTACTACAGCTTTGTAGTGTATTTTGAAGTCAGACAACGTGATGTCCGCAACTTTGAGCTTTTTTTGTTGTCGTTCAAAATTGCTTATGCTAAGGAGATAGAAGTAGTCACTACCCTGACTTGACTGGTATGCATGACGTGTGTGTATTGAAATATCACACTATACTTCACAAATTTGTACAATTATTAAGTACTAATAAAAATTCTTAAATGTTAAAGAGATAATAATGTTAATTACCCTGAGTTCATCATTGCATATTACTTATGTGTATGGAATCATCATACTGTACTCCATAAATATGTACAATAATAAAGTATTTTATTTTTTAAAAAAGATATATTCAGAAAGAAAGACTCTCTGAAAAAAAGAATCAATGGAAAACCATGGTACAGACAGGGTGTAATTTAAATCAATAGGCAAGAAACTAAGCTATTAATAATGGTGGCATTTAGGATGATTTTCTATTCAGTTTTCTTAAAGTAACTTTTGTCAAGAAGTGATAACTAGCAAGTACCCAGGATGGCCGTGCCTGAGGGCAGGGTTGGCCTAGTGAGCACCCAGGGTGGCTGTGCGTGGATAGGGTCAGGTTGGCCCCATATAGGAAACTTCTACTTCACAAAGGCTTTCTTAAGCATTTTTGTTTTTAAACCAAAGGTATTTATTGCTTCGATAGTTTTTAAGAGAAAAATGGATATGAACTGGCAGAAATATTGAGAGAGACCTGTGTATACCATTATCAAAAATCACTGAGGCACAGTACTGAGTAACAAAGGCAAGCTAGAGGAAGGGGCATATAGAATAACAGCTGTGTTGGGCTCCAGAGAAACAAACAGGCAAACCAAAGAACTGACGGCTGAACTGGTCAGAAATGGCGTAAGGTGTTACCAATAAAATGTATGTTACCAATAAAATCTATGCGTACCTTGTAATTAAAACTAAATGTTGAAAGGTCAGCGCGCGGCGGCGGGCGCGGAGCGCCCCGTGCGCACGCGTGGAGGAGCGCGTTGCCTGCGCCGGCGGAGACGTCCCGCCCTCTGCAGATTCCGGGCCCTGCCCGACCTCGGCGCCCTTCGTCACCCCCTCAACTCCCTGTCCTAGGCGAGGAGGCCGGCTTGGGTTGAGGGGCCCGAGCCAAGAGCGCGGAGAGCTCCGAGCGAGGAGGAAACGGCGTCGAGAGTGGTGGTAACGACGGCCTCAGCAGGCGGGGAAGATGAAAGGTAGCCGGATGGAGCTTGGAGATGTAACTCCGCACAATATCCAACAGTGGAAGAGGTTAAACCAGGTCATCTTTCCAGTCAGCTATAATGACAAGTTCTACAAGGCTGTGCTGGAGGTTGGCGAGCTAGCAAAACTTGCCTATTTCAATGATATTGCTGTAGGTGCAGTATGCTGCAGGGTGGATCATTCACAGAATCAGAAGAGACTTTACATCATGACACTAGGATGTCTTGCACCTTACCGAAGGCTAGGAGTAGGAACTAAAATGTTAAATCATGTGTTAAACATCTGTGAGAAAGATGGCACTTTTGACAACATCTATCTGCACGTGCAGATCAGCAATGAGTCAGCAATTGATTTCTACAGGAAGTTTGGCTTTGAAATTATTGAGACAAAGAAGAACTACTATAAGAGGATAGAACCTGCTGATGCTCATGTGCTTCAGAAAAACCTCAAAGTCCCCTCTGGTC